CCTCTTTTTCAAAACACCCTAACCTGAGCCCACATCCTCTTTTAAACTTTTTACAGCATTTAATAATTTCCCACCTTTTTCCATATACTTGCAACATCCCCACATTGCCCCTCTACCCAAATTTCTACATATCCCTTTTTCCCAAAAATCCATAAAGGGCAAAAAAAAATTTTCCCCTTTTTTTTATCTAAATACTTTTTCAAATATATGTTTAAAAGAAAACACCTGATCTACACATCCCCTACCCCCCTAAAACCTCCTTGCTCATCCGCAACCCAAACTTCGGTCTTACCTCTAATTTTTTTAAATTTAAACCCAAACCGAAAATTTTTCCCTGGAAACTCAGTAAGCTTTTTCCCTCTATAATTTTTACAGTCTTTTTGCCCCCCTTTCCCCTTTTTTAAAAAGGGGACTATAAAATGCCTCCCCCCCAATCCCTAGGAAATTCCCCCTTCTTTCATAAATTTTTTAAAAAAAAGTACCAACCATTTCCAAAAACTATACCCCCCCCTGCTTTAACATTTCTGTCATGATCCCATAAATTTTCCATTGCTTTCCCCCCTTCATTTACGTAATGCCTCACTTTCCCCCCCCACACTTACTTTCCCTGCTCTTCTTCACTCCTAAAAGAGGGTATACCCCCTGACCAGTGCAGGGAAATTAAAACTCCTCTGTTTTTTCCCTTTAACTTTTAAAAATTTCCAAAAAATTTTTCTCCCCAAATTTTCCCCAAAATACCTCCCATCCCCCCAATTACAAACTCCCCTACTCTTTTTTTTTAACTGACAAATCCATTTTTTTCCCCCCAAAGGCTTTCTTAATTTTTTAAAAACCACCCCCCCAAAATTTTTTCTTTTTTTTCATTAAAATTTTTTTGACAGTGCCTCTCCCACCTATCATCGGGCTTTTCCTTTTTTGCACCCCTCTCCCCACTTTTTTTCCCTTTCTTTTACTCTCCAAAATACTCTGCTCTTCTTATAACACTTCTCTTTTAAAAACCCCCATAAGCTCCCTTTTTTCTTTTATCACACCCTTTACTTCATCATTCCACCAATCACTCCTTTTTTTCCTCCGCCCCCACCCCCTATAACCACAAACTTCTGCCCCCTTTTCTAATCTGTTTTTTTAAAACTATTTCCCAAACCCCTCTTAAAACCCCCCCACTACTCATCTTTGCACAACCCCACCTTTCTGCCAATAGTCCCCTTATTATCTAAACCCGAATTCCTCCTCCCTTATTTTATACATTTTACCCCCCCTCTTACTTGTTTTTTGGCCACCTTCCCCCTTTTCCCCACCTTTTACCTAACTGTACACAACTAAATAATGATCCTATTTCATTGCCCCTCTATAAACATGTAAAACCCGGGAAACCTACCCATAAACCCTTTTTATCCCCCAAATACAAAAACAAAATAAACTACTTTAAATTTAACGGTTTAAAACATCCCTTTGGTATTTTTATTATCCTCTTTTTTCTAAAATATGTATTACTTTAAACCAAATTTCTTTCTAAAAACATGCTAAATTTTAAAGGGCCTCCCCCATTTACTTTTTACCCCGGGCACCCCCCAAATTTACCTACTATTTCCCTCCATAACTTTTTTAAAACCCATTTTAGCATTGAAACCCCCCAACCCCCCATAACCCTCACCTTGATTAAAAAACTCCCCACCCATTCACTAAAACATTTCCCAAAATCCCTCTCTCTCCTCTAAAACTTCTTTTCTTCTCCCGGGTCATACACGCTTATTATCCCCCCTTTTTTCCCAACACCCAAATCTTTATTTTACTCCACATAAATCCTTGAATTAATACATTTATACCCCCTCTTTTCCTGCCATTTTTTTATCCTTCAACATTTTTTGCTACCCCTTTCTTTATTTTAAAAACCTTTTGAAACCCCTACCTAACCCAAATTTATTCCTTTTCCACGAAACTCCCCCACCCCCTTCCTTTGTTTTCACTTAAACCCCAGGAATCCATTTTTCCCCTCATTCAAACATCCACAATCATCTCTTTCTTATCATCGCACAACACCCCCACGCACAATTCAATTTCCCCACTTTGAAAATTTTCTTTTTCTTATTCTTTTTAGTAATCTTTACAAAAAAGGGGGTTTTACTAGCCCATTTTTTCCCCGGCATTTTATTTGCCCTTTTACAAAAACCCCTTGGCCCTTCCCGGAGGAAAGTTTCCCTTATTCCACTTCCCCAGGGATAAAAAAGGGAAAAAAATAAGACCAAGAACTATTAAATAAAATCAAAGAAAACTCAGATGAGTTGTAAAAAATAAATGTGTACATGTGTAGTGTGACCTAAGTGTAAGAGAAGTAGCAAGACATCCGGGAAAAACTTGCATATTTAAAAGAACAGACAAAAGACACCCGCAATCCCCAAACCCTCAAAGTAAAAAAAAACTCACAGGGTTTTGTTTTACCCAATTGGCAGGACGGGAGTACCTCCCTGGTTTTGGCCCCCCGTCTACCCAAACCCACTACCAACAATATATATAAAATAAAAAAATATAAAAAAATATAATATTATATATATATATATATATATATATATATAAATATATATTTTTTTTTAATTTTATAAAAAATATAAAAAAAGGGGGAAATAATTAGAATCCCCATTCACAGAAAATTTCGTTCGACTGAGGATCCCAATTCTCCCCAAAAAAGTAGGCTACAAGTCCCTCCTCAGCAGGATGGGGACCAACAACACCAACAGAGACGTCCCCTTTCCCGATTCCCCGGGAGGGAGGCCGCCCCCAGCCTCACCTTCGGCAGGAAAAGGGGGGCGTTTCGTCCCCCTAAGGCGTGGGAAATGCGCTGGTGATCCTCTTCGTCAGCGCCACGGTGGCTACAGCTCTCCTCGTTTACTACTTCGTTTTCCCGCTGTCAGGAGCAACGCTATGCACTCCCCTCGAACCGGCCCCTCTCCTTTCTGTAAGTACACTTTAGGGCCTTTCCTTCCTTTATGAAAATCTGATTACATTCATTCCCCCTTGACTTTTTTTTTAATAATAATAAAAATAATAATAATAAAAAAAATAATAAAATAAAAAAATAATAAACAAAAAAAAATTCCCCTTATAGGCATTTAGTTCAACGATTTAACTTGAATTATTTTTCCCGCTCAAAAGCCCACCCATAATTTGCCTAGCCTATAACCGGGGCTAAGCCTGAAACTTCGTCCGTGGAAAAAATTCTACCCAGCCCCTCTGTGCCCACCTTTAGTCCCCCTTTCTATAACTGTATCCCCCACGCCAACAGGCCCCGGCAGGTTTTTGGCCAAAAAACGTAACCAAAAAACCCAAAAGGGGACTCTCCGATAAGAACAGACACCACGCGGGCAAAAAATTTAAAGTACGGGTGGAAACCAAGATCCCACAAGAAATCACTCTCGCCAGAGAAGGGTCAGAAACAGACCCAACAGCCCAAAGGGGGCCAGACGTACGACTTCCCAAGGGCCCCGAAACCGTTGGGGTACTTAAATTTAAAACTTCACCCCTTCGGAAAGGGGGAATTTTTAGCATCAGGGGAAATTTGGGGGTGGAGATTTTGGGGGGCTCGAGGCTACCTCTAACACACCCTCCACATCAAAAACATCATCACCAAGAATGATACTGTAAGGGTGAGTTTAAGGTAGCTTTTAGGGTAGTTTAAAATGTTAACAAAGGGATGTTTTAGCCACAAATTTTATCTGACACTAACATCAAGAATCCCTTTGACCTCTGCACCCCAAAGGGGGTTTAAAAAAAACTTTTTAGTGTACAAATTAAAAGAAATATTCTCTTTTCCCCCGGGGTATAAAACACTGACCATAAAAAAAAAAAACCCTCGGTGTAAAAATTACAGATTACTTTCCCTTTTGCCCCTTTTAAAAAACTGTGTAAGTAAGAATTGTTTTTTAAATGAATTTTTCAAATTTTTAAATAAATTAATGGGAAAAAATTTTAAGAATCCAAAGGGGACATATTTTTTATAAGAGTTGTCTTTCCTTTCCCCAAATTAACTAAAATCGCTTGTGAAAATTTTTCCCTATGGCTCTATTTTTCTCCTTTACTATTTTTTTTCTCTCTCCCTGTTTATCTATCTATATGTCTATCTATTCATTATCTACCTCTGTCCTCTCTGTCTTATTGTTCAGTACATTTGGGCCTGAAGAGAATGTAAAAAACACACACACATACACAAAACTCACTTTCACCTGTCCTTTAGGTAATTTCAAGTGACGCCCCCTGAGAAAAGAACCCATCATCAAACCCCTCACACCTTAAACCAGGAGCGTCAGTTCTACATAGCTACCTTTTGGCAGAACCCCCTTGGGGGTGGGGAAGAAGCTCTTATCCATGGCTTACCTACCCCCCCTCAACACTCCCGCTTAAAGGGTTTTACAAGTCACGCTACCCGCATGTTTATGTACGGATTTGGTAAGTAGGGTAAGTTGGGGGGAAAGGGGGAAGGGTTTCGGGAAAAGCCCGTAAATTTAAAACGTTTCTCTCTGTAAGTTTTTACTGTTGTACGCTAAGGTTTTAAACAAGGTAGGGGGGTTTGGCCCCAAGCTGGTGTTTTTCCCCTACGCAACTGCTTAGACTAACACCCCCACAAATTTAAAGTTCCTAATTTTTGATGAATAAAAAAAAAATCTTTCCCATAGATGGGGATCAAAAACAAGTTCCAAAACCCACGGGGGCCCCCCCGGCCTTTTCCCCCCTTCGACGAGCCCGGGCCCGAGGGCGAGCTTCCCAGGGCTTCCTTGGGCCCGGGAAAGGAAAACATGACCTCTCTCTTTCCCAAAATGCCCTCTGGGAAAACCCACCCCATGTAAGTAAAAAATAAATCTTTTTTAAGTAATTTTTGTACTCCAATCAAGTCACCCCTAAAAATTCCTTTCTCAAGTAAAGTCCCACTCCCTGCCAATTTTTCCAAAAATCCCCCGTAAACCCAAAACGCATTAAGTAGCCCAATAACCCCGGTTTTTAGTGTTGGC